TATATTGAATTTTTAATTAACCGTGAAGAAAACGTATCAATATCCATTCCTGCAGATGTGCTAATTCAAATCAAATATAATCTTGATTGCAGTCTCCGATTAGATTGGTATTTGCAATGACTATCGATAAGTCTGAAGACCAAGTTCAGATTTGGTCGTACCGTGTTCTTCACATACAAAATTGTTTGTGATATGCTTTGGAATGGTTAACCCATCCAGTGTGCATTAGGTACTCCTTTCACTCTTATACCGCATACTTAACATTCACAGAAATTTAGTTTTTTAGTACATGGAGGCCAATGGTTAAAAACTGAGATCAAGATTCAACATTTCAATTTTATTTCTTTCTATGTAATTGAATATTTATGGAAATTGATTATTTATTACATAACTGAAACGTTTGTTTTTTTGCAGAGCATTCAGTCTTGTGTAGTTAAATTACGAGTAAAGAAGTCAAGCACTGCACGAATAGGTGAGTGAGATATAATTTTTTTAAGATACAAATATATAATATATGTATATATATATATATATATATATATATATATATATATATGAAATATATAATTCTTTTTTCAAAAAGCAACTCCTTTAAAGTGCACTGTAATAAATGTAGCATAAATAAATTATACATCAGTTTAGTAAATATCTAATATATTTTTATAATATGGGTTATATATAATTACTATTAATTATTATGATTACAAGTACATTAAACATTTTTGAAAAATTAATTACTATATAAAGAATTCATAAAAATAGTCGGTTAGCTATTAATAATATCTATTTACCAAACTTTACATTTTAAATATCTACTACACTAAAACTATAATTTATTAAATAACTTTAGTATATCTATCACAACATTTATCAATGACTTTAATACATCTAAACAAATACAATAATCAAGTTAGAAGTGGTTAACACATAGTATGTGTTAGTTAATAAAACTGAATACTGATAAAATGATAGATCACAATAAATAAATGATCATTTATTTACTTTTTTTCTCTACTAAATTCTTCTTGATCGCATTACTGTGCGTTTTGGTATGTCTTCTTAGACTATTAAGATTTCTAAGATATTTACCACAGATGGTGCATTTTAACACGGATTCTCCACTATGCGATTTCAAATGTTCTCTGAAAAGAGTTAATAAAAATAACAATAGTCAGATAGTTTTATTAGATGATTTAATTTTATACCCATATTTTAATAATACCTCATAGATGTTTCTTTACGATAAACTTTCTGGCATATTGGACATCTTGATTTTCCAGTTGCAGATTCATCAGATTCGTGTTCATGAGTCTTTATATGTCTTTTAACTGAACCCGCATGGTTAAATCCTTTGCCACATATATGACAATAATATTTAAGTTTATTTGTTTTTATTTCTTGGCACTCATGATTATTCTGTTCTTCACCAATTGTTAGCAATAGACCACAAGTAGTACAGGCAAGCGATTCAGGCTCAGATTTGTCAATCGACTTCTTTTTTTTTGTAATTTGATGCTGCTCGACATAGTGCCTATCATAAGTAAGTTTACAATCAAATTTCTGTGGGCAAACTGTACATGGATAAATATATTCTTTCGTTAAAAGTTTTATTTTCTGAGAATTTGGTTGCTGTTCATAACTAGCTAACTTGTTCTCTTCGAGGTGAAGTAATGAGGCAGTGGTAACTGCTTGTAGTTTCTCAATTTCATGCTCAACTCTTGAGTTATTATTTTCATCATTGTTATGATCTTTGCAATGTGCTTCATATAATAGCTTATCATGAAAAATCTTCGAGCACACAGCACAACGAAATGTTATATCAACAAAATGTTCTCTTAGATGATAACTCATTTCTTTTGGAGTATAAAACGTTTTTTCGCACGCCTGGCATTTGTAGTACATCATGTTTTTATGCATATTTACGTGTCCATTATATTCAGCATCATCTGTAAATGACACTTCACAATGCCTACAAATGTATTTATATTCCTGAATATGCATCACCTCAATGTGTTGTTTTCTGCTACAGGGATTTTCGAAGGCTCTATAACAAAATAAGCAAATATACTTTTTCTTGCATTTTGACAAACTATCATCCCATATTTCAGCGTTTTGTGGCAAATATAAAGAATCGTAATGAACATTTGCCTTGTGAAATTCCGTTGAACGTATATTTAAATTCGGGTCGATTGTGCTATTGAGTCCGAAGTAACTGTCAGTCAAACCTATGTCAGCACTGAAAGCGATATTGTACATTTGATCATCGATTTCGTTACCGAAAGGGATTGATGACATTTTCGTTATTAGTTAATAATTTTTGTTATAATTTTTATTGTTTATTTATTTAGTTTATTATATATCTAGTTAAAATATTTTTTTACCAAAAATAAATGACGCGCAACCGCCTCTTTTTTGTTTAAAATAAAGTTAGCGAAAAATGGTGGGAAAATCTCAAAGGCATAAATATACATTACCAACATAACAATGAAATATATTTTCAGTAAGGTTTTAATTAATATGATCATAGACAATATAATAATTGAATATGATGGAGTTTCGAATTAATTTTTATAAAAATTCATTTAAACATCTGTGAAATTAAAAAAAAATATTAGAAACTTTAGGGAAATCAGCGGACGTTGAAGTTAAAAATTTTGAACGCTATCGAAAAATTTTCTAACTATATGCTATGGCGCCTTTTTTTATCGTTTCATAAATTTTAAGATTACGTCTCATGACATTTTCATATATAAATTTTGAATCATATTTTTGTGTCAAAAATATAAATTATAATCATATAGCAAGGTATTGTTGAATAATGACAATAAGCCATTTTCACATTTTATTATTTATTATTCAGGATTGTTTTAGAGATTAATATAATTAGCGTTTGATTTATTCAATTTGTGTTTCGTCGTAAACAATTACATCACCGGATTTACACATATCAAATATAAATTGCGTTTCTTTAAGATATGTATTGCAATTCGACAATAGATTTGATAATTTTGATTAATGAACTTTTGTCCGGCGTATTTTTATTTTAATTTTCTACATGAGTTTGGCATATGGGTTTATTACAAAATCGTTCCAAAATACTTCACGATTTTGGAATCATATTTATCTAACAGAACTTTTCAAATTAAAGAAAATAAAGAACGCTTCCCTCTCAAACCAATTCATTCCGGTGTTCCACAAGGTAGTGTTCTCGGTCCAATATTGTATCTGCTATTCACGAGTGATATGCCGCTAGATTCGGCTTTAACAATAAGCACATATGCTGATGACATTGCCATTACCCCAAATCATAAGGATGTGATAACAGCTACTTCTTTACTTCAAAATTATCTGGCGAAGATAGAACTATGGCTGGATAAATAGAACATAAAAACTAATGTTAAGAAATCTCAACTCCTCATCATTTCATTGAGAAGCCACCCAAGGCCTTATACTTGAATAATATTGTTATTACAAACCGGGAATCCGTAAAATACCTAGGAATGCATATAGAGAATAAACTAAATTGGAAAACGCACATTCTAATGAAAAAGAAACAAATAGATTTAGAACTGAAGTAAATGAACTGGCTCTTGAAAATAAACTCTCGTTTATAAAGCTATGGGGCTTTATTCAAATAATCCAGTCGAGAGAGCCCAGAACAAAATACTAAGAACGATGTCCAGGGCTCCATGGTTTATGACCAACCACATGATCCATAAGGACTCAAACATTTCTTCAGTAGCGAAAGTCATCAAAAAAGGAGCTTATTCTTTTAAGACAAATTGGATGCACATGTTAATCCTGAAATGCTATTCAAATAATACAATCGTGATAAATTTCCACTATACGAAATTCTCAGTAGTTTCTGCATATTGCATGAATTTTTAATTTTCCGGAAGAGTTTATATTTTTGGCATTCTAAAAGTCATTCTGTATCAATGATACCAACATTGTATGACTGTATGTGCATATGTAATCCAAAATTTGAACTTACTCGACGTTTTCTCAAAAACGGCTGCGCAGATTTTAAAAATTTCAAAAGCATTGTATAAAACTCTATATAGAGACTCACGTTTATTAGTAAAATAACAAATTAGTTTTGTATGATATATTTTGTATGATAATTATTTATATTCTTATTGTTAGAAAATATCAATAAGCCATTTTTTCATTTTATTGCTATTATTTAATATTCAAGATTAATTTATTTCATATGCCTCAATATTTTTGTCATCTCTGGAATGCTATAGTGTAATATGAAGGCATTGCTCGAACATTTGATATTTGAATCGAAGTTGATTCAAATTCAAGAGAGTTCAAAATCGTCACCTTAATTGATATTTGCAACTATAACAAACATGGTTTTGTTTACATTGTTTCATGAATCGATGTTGCTATACCAAACAGTGCCAGTTATTATTTTACATATAGTTGATGTTCGAGATTTTCCGCAAATATTCGTTTACGATCGTGTACCTGTACAAGCCGTGGAGTTTGAAAATGAAGGAGAAATTTTAATTAAAATAAATAATTCTAATAAAACTATACTAAAGATTTCTAAACTAGAAACTATAACAAACTGAAATTTTGATTTAATTTATAATTTATAATTATTAACAAATAGTTAAACTATATTATAAAAACTGTAGTCAGAAAAATCAAATAGCACAATTTCAAAAATATATGGTATCACCGAATACCGAAAAATCTAATTTGATATAGGAATCCAATTGGATTCAAACATTTCACGATTTAATTTGATTTCAAGTAGAATTTTTCAACTTTTCAACTTCTAAACTTTAGACTCTAAAACAATAAAATGGGGATTATAAATACTGATCAAACTGAGTAAAGAAAATGCTCATTTTGATCAAATTAGGTGAGGTGAAAACGTTCTTAAAATCCCTATATTTAAAAAGATATTTTATAGTTTTTTTTATAATGCGCTACTATTTTTGATCTTTAAATTTAAATAAAAATATATTACTAATAAATTTACTATATAATTTATTCATCATGCAAAATATACTGTATTCATATTTTGATACAACATAACTATTAATTTGAATACATTTATATCAATAAAAGTTATGATTGACTTAGTAAAGTTCTGTTGGGGTTTTTCGTAATTAAATGTTGAAACTTTTTTTTGCTGTTTTGCTGAAGCTTTGTATAACAATAGATTTTGCAGTCTGAAATAACATACTAAAATATCATAGGCGCACGATGAGCCGGTGAAATATAAAAATTCATCAATTTTTAAAATGTTGTTATGCGCTTAAGCGATTCTAATCAGAATCTATGCCGAAGCATATGTACGTAGCTACTGATCACAGTATACGTCAATAAACGGATGAAATGAAATGTTTAAGAAATTAATTTAATTTGTACAAATGCAGATATTATGTGTATTTGAATTTGAAAGACATCAACTCGAAATCCTATTGATTATTTTTATTGAAAGGGAAAATTTTATTTTTGAATTAACGGTTGAATATTGTACCTAAATGGCTGAATCTCAGAAAGTTCATGCAACTTTCCTTAAAGCAAAATGCTGTTTACTAGTTACAGCTAAAGTTTTGGTTGTTGTCATTCCGGACAATTGTATAAATAATTGTTTTATAAAAAATATTAGTTGTCTTCAATAAAACCATACAACTGATTTGTAACTTCATATGTAGTAACAATTTAAAAACATTTTGTTCATGTATTTGTAGTTATTGAAAATGAAAAGATTCAGTTGAATTATTTCTTATAAACACGTTGAAAAAGTTTTGCAAAAGAGCAAAAGGTTCTCTTTTATTTAAATTAACATCTCGCAAAAAAATCGAAAATGAAAATTTTTATATATCTTTACATTTCAAAGGTTTCTGAATATTTTGGCACTTCTTAGAAAAAATGGTTGTGTGTTTGTGTGTGCATATGTGTTACTTAGTTTTTAAGGAAACGAAGCGTCCGATTTTAATAATTCAAAAAACATTTCACTTGTGTTGACAAGATAAAGAACTGATAAATTTTTTGAAAGGGCAGGTCCAGCAGTTATAGACTCTCAATAAAAATAAGTTAAAAAAATGTCATTTGGCGTTCAAAAATGTTTATTGGACATATATACATCAAATTATCAGATATTTTATAGAGATTTTAATAATGCGCACACAGTTTGTGTAATTTTTTTTGGGTTCCGTACCAAGATTTTTAATTACGTTACGGGAAGTTCCAGCAATTTGCCTTAAGTCACGATGCTATGCACCCCATTAGTTTCACGTTATATTGATTTTACTACATCCTCATATTTTTCATGGATTAATACTTTCCTTTATTCATTAGCTTCGCGGTATAAAACTATTCTATGCCGGTCATTACACCACGTGAGATTTACCAAACCGGTTTATACACAACTACATTGCAGTACCGAACGTCGGTGTTCGCGCAGTATCGACTATGCGGCGAAAACCTCAGCACAATCCGCATACTTTGTAATGCACACGTGTGCTTACGGGAAAATAATATGACAGAATTTTTACCGCTAAACGGATTACGTTAGTTTCCGAAAATTCGGTCACTGTATGTGTCAATCAATTTTTTGACACTTCCCTCGCGCAAGTTCCGATCGTTTCAAATGGCGGACATATGATTTGATTTATGTTACTGTAGTTGATTAGAAAATAATTTAGTGGAAATAGTGAATACTGTGTTTACTTTTAGTTTGTTTTAATGTATTTCCCAGTAGTGAAATCAATATGGCGTGATATGTAAGCGCGCCTCGTGTGTGAAGTGACGTTTTTCAAAGTGACGTGTAGGATGTTAGTTTGAAAGTTTGACAACTGTTTTGATTGGAATTGAGATTTCTGTACCTTCCGGTAAGCCATTCAATGTTATAAAATTCCCCAGTCCTTTCGAATAATTCACATCATTTATCTAATTTTAATAATAATTCATTATGAATAAATAATGTAATAATGAAAGTTTCATAATTACAACTTCTATTAATACTTGCTCCATATTAATGAACTACGTTCTCTATAACGCAGTTGTATTGTCATTATTAGTGGGTACATGATGATGTTGTTTATAGATTTGAATTTCATAGCAATTATTTGTATTTATTGGTCTTATCTATTGATAGAAGATTAATATAGAATTAAATTCATTTTTATTCTGGCCCCAGTAGTGTTCTGGCTTTTTTCCTTGATGTGTTTTTTCCTCTATTTGTTTTATCATATTGTCATTGAGGTTGACTACCGAAGATATATCAAAATATGAAAATACACGTTATATTTGTATCAAATAGATTG